AGAGAGAGAGAGAGAGAGAGAGAGAGAGAGAGAGAGAGAACTGTTACATCCAGGAACAACACACACAGAGTCTGTCTCCTACTAGAAGGAAGCTCTTCATGTTTGTGTTCATTCAAAGCAGCAAAGTTGTATTTAATTAAAACAGATCACTCTGAATATTAGAGCCCTCACTGACACTCAGACCTCAGCGATGCCCGAGTGTTGATACTCGATCAACTATACAACTAAACTGAACTGATGAAGTCACTCACGCAGGCGATCTTCAGTAAATGCCAGAACTCTTTCTGTCTCTTGATCTGCATCTGCATCACTGTGTTGTCGGCATCCTTGATGCTCTCCAAGGTTTTCTCGATCCGTGGAAACAAGTCGATGATCTTCTGTTTGCTGATCAGGATCTTACTGTTGGGAGGAGGCGAGGCAGACGTTGACACGCAGTGAACACACAGGTGTGACTACAGCGCTGCACGTCTTGGAGGAGTGCTGGTCTCTTACCTGAGGTGGGTGTACAGGTCTTTGAGGACCTTGTCCTGGTTCTGGACCGTCTGAATGATGGCCTTCACCATCTCAGAGCTGTCGCTGCTCACATCTGGCTCAGGTACTGAGAGACAATCGGATAACAAATGGGTTCATTTGATTTCTGTTTGTCTTTCTGAGGAACATCGAAGCCGTTCAGTTGATTTCACATTTTGAATAAATTAAATGAAGACGTTTCTTACTTTTGCATTTCATCTTCATTTGCTTGTAGAGCTCAATCGCCTTTTCTTCTCTACGATAAAACAAATTAGTCACATATAAATTATATATCTACAAGACTGCATTCTAAAGCCAGCGGCCCAAATTACATAATTATCTGTAAAACTCTTTATGAATAGTTCACACTGCACGACTTGAGCCCAGTTGTTTATGTAATCCACGATAGCTCGGCGCTCGCACATCGCCGCTTGACGAGAGGCCGGTGCACCGTAGATGGATTCCAGATATCTAGCAGGCTAAACATCTGGATGTGTCGGGGAGCTACAGCCAATCAGAGCTCAAGACACGTGTTGAGGGGAAACCTGGCGGAGGGGTCTCCTCACCTGTAGTGTACCTGTGTGCGCTAGCTGTTGCATTTGCAACACAGACCAAAGGTGTCGTTGTGTATTGGATGTTTGCATAATTAAACATAACACAGTGAGTCTACACCGGGTGCAATAGTAGTAAAGACGTGTGGAAGCAGACTATCATGTCAACATGTGTGCAGATGACAACATCAACAAGCATCACTACACCAGAGTCACTTCTTTAGTGAGTTTTTAAACGTAGTTTGGAGACGTTAACTGGGATTCCTCCTGAGGAAAGATCTGATAGAGTGTGACCACCTGTGGCCTCAGTCACGTAGTGTGAAAACCACAAAGACTTCAAGACATCAAGTGGTGTAGAGTGAGTTTAGCTTAAGGACATCAGTCTTTCAAATCAACTAAAGCCTATTGATAACTGTATAGATGAAATATTAGTGTTGTCGGACCACAGTAACACTCACAGCTGCTCCATCTTGTCTCCTTGGCGTCGAGCGTATGGACTCCTCTGAAGTTCCACTATCTCTGAGTGCAGAGCCATGATCTCATCATCCAGGTGGCTCACCTCTGCCACCTGCAGGACGAACCAGGAATCACACCACCATCAAAGATTTACACTGAGAAACATTACAGGCCTTTTTAATGTTTTAAATGTGAAAAACAAACATGCATTACCTGTGCAAAAGCAGCAGCTCGCTCCTCGTTCTCCTGCCAGGCTTTCAGCATCTTCTCAGAGGCTTTAAACACACACACAGCTCATCAAAACAAACATCTGGCTCAGTGCTGTATTACATATTCCCATATGTTGGAATGTTCTCCATCAGAGGGTCAAGCATCAAACTGAAACAACCAGCTGCCGGGAAGCACTCACATATGCCGTAGTGCATCTGATCGCTGTATTTCTCCAGGTCGTACTGGATGCTGCTCTTGAAGAAGTCCAGCTTGGCCTTCAGCTGCTGAGAGAAGCCAAACATGCTGTTCTTACACCTGGTCAGGTTGGTGTTGTAGCGCAGGAGACTCAACCTGGAGGGAGGAGACGATTAAAGGGTTAGAGAGCGTTGGGAGGAAGAGGAGGAGGGTTCAGTTCCCTCTGGTGGGGCTGGCTGCATCATCCAGCAGAACGTCTACAAATCTGTTGATTTATATCAAAAGATATTCAGTTCACTGTCACAGAGGAGGAAAGAAACCACACAATATTTCATATTTAAGAAGCTAGAAATCAGAGAATGTTTTAAGTTAAAATAATTATTCAAACCAATTAATGGATTATACAAATAGCTCTAAAATAAAGAACCTAACCTGGATTAAATGACTGTTATGCAAAATAAAAAAGGTTCTACTGCAATTAATAAACAACTGACAACTTAACTATTAATAAATGGACTTCAACGACAATTAAATTTTAAAAAAATTGGGAAAAAAACATTTTAAAAAGAAGATATTTTTGAGTTGAGACAAACACAAAATGGTGGTGCCTTTCGTCGATGTTAAAACAACAGATTACTCACATAGCAGCTCTCTGTCCTTGGAACAGCCGGCTGTAGTCGTCCTTCAGCCCACAGATGTAGCTCACCGCTTCACCCCAAACCTTCTTCAGCAGCACCAGGGGAAGCTGCGTCTTGGCCTCTTGCACTGAGAAGTTACAACCAGACTCATGAGAGCTGCACTATATGGTGTTAAAGTGGAGCAGGGAAACACAACTCCGCCATTTATTAAGTTAAGACACTATGATGATGCTAATCACAGCTAAACATATATATTTCATTACATCATTGATCTGAGAGAGACACAGGAAGTCTGTAGAAAGGAGTAAACCTGTGATTTGTGAAATGCATCGAGGTTCATTCAACAGTTCATCGTCTCATCGGCAGCAGACACTCCTTAAAATAGACCCACCTATAGTGTTGACTTTATCGGGCAGTTGTCTGGCACTGAGGGGTCCAGAGTACTTGGTGATGCTCTTGTCAAACAGATAGACGATGTAACTGTCCCACCCTCTCTACACAGGGGACAAGAACAGCACCACTTACAGCCTGCACATACCTTTCCTGTCGCTTAAAACAGCATCAATGATTGATTCAAAGTCCCTCGACACACACACACACAGTGAGAACCGCCGTCGCAGCTCTTTCCTGCAGCGTTATTGTTTTTATCTCTGAAACAAGTCTTTTACAGATATATCTCCCGTCTTTGTAAAGGGCCCAAAGGGAGGGACTAACATACAACAGCTTGTTTGTTTGCTTCATTAGCAGTATGATACAGTAAGGACATGAAGAGAGAGAAAATACAAGAGAGATACGCAGCAAGACTCCATTTGTGGGCGTTGCCAGCTCATGGTTGTTGTCTTTAACCAGTAGAAACACAAGGACACCCTTTCAGCTGCACCGAGAGCCAACTCACCACTCCGTCTAGGACACACTGAGCAGCGGCCTTCCTGGGATCCAGCGACACTCCCGTCTCCTGCAGCAGCTCCTGGTTCACCACCTCGATCTTGGTCTCGGCCTCGATGCGATTCTGCAGACTGTGGAGACTTTCGTCCGGGGTCAGCTGGAAAGAGTGGACCTGAGCTGTGGTCATGTTCAGGATGTGGACGACCTAAAGGAGACAGAGGAGACAAACGGTTTGGTGTAAAGAACGGGTCATCGATTACGGACACGTAAACCGATTAAAAGAGATCTCACACCGATTTAAATCCATGCAGCAGAAGCAGAGATATCGTGTTTTTATAGGAATGTACCGAAAAGTTCAAAGCTTCTTTAAATGTAGTTCTTATTTCTTATGTATTCATTTCGTTTAAAGCAGTCACTTCTGCACAGTGTCGTATAAAGCACTGGTAAAACGCCGACTCTTAGGATCTAAAGCTCTGCCGGTAACTCACCTTCATACTCAGGATCTGCTCCATTTCTTCAAAGCACGAGGGTTTCTTGGTGTCGGTGTTGATTTTGCCTCCTCTGTAACCTTGATCCCACTTTAACATCAGCTGCAGCAGCATTTCCATCGGGCCCAACATCGTCCTGAATAACAGCGAATGAAGCACGAGTTCAGGGAGAGGAATCACTAAACGATACTTGGAACACACAGCGACTCAAGTCTGTAGTACTTTCTCCAGCTTAGGAAGAACATGTCGCCCCCCCCCCGTGTGCTCAGTGATTGATGTGATGTATATTTCCAGCAGTCACAGCGTCCTGACCTGCTCAGGTTGTTGGGGTAGGGGAGTTGTGTGGAGAACCTCACTTCTCCGTTCGGGTCCTCTACAGCCATGATGTCTCTGGGACCTTTATTCCTCACTTTGCTCGCCCTGTGAATGAGAAGACGACGACGACGGATGATTTACATCTTAAAGTCATTGTTGTTTGATTTTTATTCAAAGCACAAAAGCATAGCAGCAGTCTGATGGGAAATAAAACACATTATATATAAGTGATGATAAGTTCATTTTACATTTGTTTTGGTGACTTGACTCCAGCGGCTGCGTCTCAGTATTTTGCTGCTCACCTGAGTTTTCTTAATTTTGTTGCGTTTGTATCTAATTTACCTAAAAATCTGATATTTGACAAGAAGTCTCCCGGGTGTGGGAGTGAATATACTCTGATGGCTTTTCACCGCTGTAAACCGGCTCCACCCGTCATAACTGGGTCAAATGGGGAACAGGAAATGCTGCCACGGAGTCAGTTAAACTAGTTATCTGAGCCCTGTTGTATTTTTAAACCGTTATTTGTTTAACTGGCAACAATAAAAACGTGCAGAATTAGCTGTTAACAGCTCTTGTTAGGGCCCGAGCAAGTCGGAGTGGAGGATCTATTGTTTTTCGATTGTTTATTATTATTATTATTTCGTGTCTTTCGTCGCAAAAAGGAGGTGCTTGGGATACTGGAAAAACGTCGAAATTTGGCACGTAAGCCAGAATTTGCGAAAATTGCTGTCCGATTGGGGTGTCCAGCTGCGGTATGAAATATTGGCTCGATAGCGCCCCCTATTGAGAAGCCCCAACACCGGGTTTCACCTAGCTGTATGAAATTTGGTAGGTATGTGGATCGTGATGAGACGCACAAAAAATCCTCTTGGAGTTTTTCATTAAACCAAACAGGAAGTCGGCCATTTTGACTTTTATGACGTTTTTTGACCATTTCAAGGTGTCATACTGTAACAAACTCCTCCCAGAGATTTGACCCGATTGACTTCAGATTCGGTCAGTATGCTCTTGAGACCTTGGCAGTGAAAACTTACTCAAACATCAAAAAGTTATCGAACTATGTGTCCGTGGCGTCAAAAAAACACCATTCGCCGCGAAACAGGAAGTTGTTGTAATTCGACCGTACATTATCGAATCTGCACCAAATCTCTCATATGTCATAATATCCTGACCCGGAACACATCTATAAGACAATTTAGAATCATAGTAATAGCGCCACCTAGTGGCAACCGGAAGTTGTAAGTTGTGTACTTTGACATCCTGCTCCTCACAGATTAATCAGATCCCTCTAAAATGTTGTCAGAACAGCCTTAAGACCTCGATAATGCTTCATTGTCAAGGTTGTAAGAAGTTGTTGAAGGGCGGCGACGTGGCGGCTCGGCGAATTTCGATCCTTCGCCATGAGAACGAATAAACTGATGTAACTCAACTCCACATCATCAGATCTTTACCAGATTTCACATGTTTGATGAGACTCCAGTCCTGAAGACATCTGCAGGCCAATTTTGAATCATAGTCATAGCGCCACCTACTGGTAACAGGAAGTTAAAGTCTTTATACTTTGGCTTGTTTCTCTTAGTAGATAAATCAGATCAACATCAAATTACTTCCACACAAATATAAGAAGTTCGTTATACCAGTTCATGAAGCTTTTGATGTTTCGTCGAACGCTGTTGCCGTGGCGACGCAGTCTTCGCCATGAAAAACGAAGGTAATTTTGAGAGACTAAAAATGCTCGAAACATAAGCAAACTTGGCACACAGATTTAAAGCCCAAAATGTAGTTATATAATATGATTTTATTGGTTCAGAGTGGAAAATCGGCTCAATAGCGCCCCCTACAAAATTTCGATGAAGCAGCCCTCGCTGTACGTTTCACATAGATTTATAAAATTTGGTAAGCAGATGTATCACATGTAGACTTAAAAAAAAAGTCTCTTGGAGTTATGCTCTAAACCCAACCGGAAGTCAGCCATTTTGAATTTTGTATGAATTTCTAGTGTCGTTTTTGTCATTTCCAGGCGCTTTACTTTAACGAACTCCTCCTATGGTAATAATCGAATCAACTTCAAATTTGGTCAGAACAATCTGAAGACCTTTGTGATGAAAAGTTACTCAAAGCTTGTGGTTTCGTGAAAAGACGTTGCCATGGCGACGCATTCTTCGCCATGAAAGATTAAGGTATTTTTGAGGGGCTAAAAATGCTCAAAACATAATCAAACTTGCCAAACACATTTAAAATCCTGAATGTTGTTATCTAATGTGATTTTAATGTTTCAGTGTGGCAAGTCTGCTCGATAGCGGCCCCTACAATATTTCAACGCTGCAGCCCTCGCAGTACGTTAAGACCTTAGCGATTAAAAGTTACTAAAAGCTTGAGGTTTCATTGAACAACATGGATGTGGTGTGGCAGCCATTTTACATGGTTCACCATCATCCATCAAGCTGTTGTAACTCAACTGTACTTTGTCAAAACTGTCCCAAACTTGACATGTTTGATTAAGGTCATGATTTTAGGACTTCTGCATGCCAATATTAACTCATAGTCATAGCACCACCTACTGATAAGCACGGACGTAAGCAGGATTCTATAATTACAGCGGCCCAAACACTGAACTTATTAAAAGGGTTTGTGGGCACACCATGAGAAAAGAATGACTTCTCTGATCTAAATATGTGCATAGTAAGATGTTTGGAGAGCAGAAATTAGATAAAAGTGGTTGTCAAGCCACTGTCGGTGGCCATTAGCATAAATGATCTGTCCAGAGCTTCTACATCAGGTTAAATGTTACAAGGAATGATTCACACTACAATCTAAAGTTGCAGAAGAGCTTAAAATGAAAACAGTGTTAAATTAAAGTGTCCAAGTAACAGCAAATGGCACTACTGTTTTGTTAACTTTCATGTAAGTCCAAATACAATCAGCAGGACACTGCAGGGAGTTGAACCCCATCCCAGTAAACTGATAGTCTGTTATGTCACAAACACTGAAGCACATTCATTTTCTGAATGATCTTTAAAGGCTTACATTTATGATTGTATCGGATGTACACTCAAAACATTTGAGGCTTAAGACCTGGCAACATGATCTTGCTACGCTGCTGGTCTACGCAGGAAATATCTCACTCGTGCACGCAGTGTGATGGTCACAGAAATTCATGGCCGCATCACCCAGAGTCCTGCCAGTACCAGGAAATACCGTTTAACTCGTGCACGCAGTGTATGACGGTCACAGAAATGCATGGCCAGAGTCCTGCTAGTACCCTCGACATGCGTGAAGTTGCGAGGGCCCGATCAATGCTGCTCGCAGCTTTAATTATCATTGAACCCATTAAAGTGCCTTTCACTCATCCTCTGCAGTAGACTGACGAGGTGAATCAAAGTGTCTTTTATTTGATTTTATAAGCCAACTTAAGTCTCCAAAACCCTTTTCATCCCTCCGGTAAAACAAACCACTCCTGTGCAACACATACACGTCATAATGTTTTGCTTATCAGGTCAACTCACCACTGCACAGGCTGAAGGTTGTGCAGGAACGGACGGAAACCACAAATGCATTCAAATAGCATGGTGCCGAAGCTCCAGTAGTCCACAGTCACCGTGTACGGCTTGTTCTCAAACAGCTCAGGAGCCTAGAGAGAAAAAGTGATGCAACATCACACATTTGAACGACATCGATGACCACGCTATCTAGCATTTCTACATCTGTGAAGGAAGGAAGCGTCATAGATGTGATAAAGCGAGGTGCACCTGAGGATGAAGACATCGTTATTTGTTTGCTTACCAGGTACTGAAGCGTGCCAACGAAGGAGGTGCACAGACTGCCCTGGTCCAGGTCTTTAGCGTAGCCCAGGTCAATGATTTTGTGAACCAGCTGCAGAAGAAGAAAAAGAACATTTCAGACAGTTTCCTCAAGATGTAAAGTCAAACAGAACAAAACGGTGAAGCGTCAGTTTACCTTTCCGTTGATATCTTGCAGCACTATGTTTTCAGGTTTAAGGTCTCTGTGTATGATCTTGTTCTCGTGAAGATATTGGATACCAGATCCTGGAGCACAAAACAAGCGGTTTAACTGAAAGAAGAGGCTCTAAAACAATAAATAAGACGCGTCTGAATGAACAAAATATGACATACCGACATCATTGAGTAACGAAAGAACTTCACTCTCTTTCAATCCGCAGCAGTTATCAGGTTTGCTCAGCATCTGTAATCACATCACATCTGCAGTAAATCTACATTACATGAGCCACACACAGCATGCTATGATTGTGTGTCTTGTATGACGTACAGTGCAGCTTGTAATGCAACTTCAACCTTTGCCCGTCTACACTGTGATCACACACACACACACACACACACACACACACACACACACACACACACACATACACACACACACACACACACACACACACACCAGAGCATCACATTTGATTACAGCGTATAAAAACTACGTGTTAACCAGGTGAACAGTACTACTTCCTCCTAAAAGTCGAATCACTGCTTTTTTTTTTGCTGAGTCGTTGTGCAGAGAGCAATGCAGGAGCAACAGCATGGCAGGCTGTAAACTTTACAACAGAGACTGGTCTGAAAATGACCCTCCGCACGGCGCCAAACACCATGACTCATGCCGATGTTGTGATGTTTAAACAGGCGCTGGTACGACCTCCTCTGCTGGAATGATGCTCCATGGTGCACTAGGGTTTTATAACCAAAGTATTACCAGGAAGGACGCACGCTTTTACTTTCTCTGACTGGGTGGAAATCTGATGAACAAAGTCATCAACACTGGAGTCTGACAGGTAAAACGTGTTGGTTGATATGGGAGTTTAGTGGGGCGGCTGCTCTGTAAGGTGATCCGACTCTTAACTGAAGAGGGAAGTGAATGATGTATTTCTCATATTTGTAGGTAAGGTGTACTGAACAATGGCTCAATGTGGACATATTCTAAGCTTCCTCTCCAGGGGTCCCTCACCTTCCTCAGGTCTCCCCTTGAGCAGTACTCCATGGCCAACAATGGGAGATCATTTAGGGCGATGTGCCTCATTTCCTCCGGGACATCTCGGGCTGACACGACATTGATGTGATTCAACCTGATTGGGAGAGAAGGAGGAGTCAATACTGCTATTACTATTTAATGATACCCATGCATAGTAATTGTGAATAAGTATCATTATGATACCAGGACATTACTGTATATAATGCCTTTGAATCAATGTGCTAATGAACTGTCACCTAATGGAGAAAAGTACATAAAAATAAGTCTAACTTTTTCATGATCTGGATTTCTCTGCTCCATCTGTCCTTATTCCTTGGCGTGAGCTCCAGACGGCACATTTTCACAGCTAGTTTTTCATTTGTATCCTACAACACAGACAAAAATAAACTGTTATGTCACTGCATAAAAGAGTACCACAAAACAGCAAGTTTGTGTTTAGCTATTCCCCAATATATCTTCATAAAATGTCCCAATACTTAAGGGTACTTTAGGATGTAAAGTGGGTAGATAAGTAGTAAATGTTATGGTTGTTTTGAGAGGTGTCAGTGTTTAGTGTCACATTTATCTGCAGTGTCAGAGTCATATAACTGAACTTACATGATGTTGGTACAGGTAAACATGTCCAAATCCGCCCATTCCCAGCCTCTCCTTCAGCTCCCAGTCTCCGCAGTTCTGGTTCTGCCTGAAGGGAGGTTTCTCCATTGTTGTGACGCAAGCTAAACTGAAATATATAAACAACGTTTACATGACAGTAAAGTTATATTATATCCAGTAATACTTAATCTAAAAGGCATTTGTAGTGATCACAAACTGACTGCGACGTTTAAATTCCTACCTAGCTAGCAAACTAAAAAACAAGGACAAGGCTACATCCTGGAACACTTGCCAAGCTAATGTCAGCTGACACCGATATTTGAACAATATTGATGTTAAATTACGTTTTTGGCACAAGTGGCCTGTTAATTACAGATAGCATGTATGAAAAACACAACATTTAATTACTATGATTGACTAAATTGGCTAACTTTAGCAGGTAGCTAACGGGCTAGTTATATCAACAGTGTAGCCAAACCAACGGCAGCCCCCCATACATTCCAGGAAAAAGACGGCGCCGGCTAGTTAGCATTTCCTACAAACCGAATGGCTTCGACGTCACTTAAGTGACGTTTTAAGTGGATGCTTCCGTCGCTAAGAACGCGAGTTTTTGAGACTTACTTTGTGTTTCTATGTAAGTGTCATGAGCCGTTTTTTCGGTGTAACTGCGTGCTGTCCGGTTGTTTTTTCGGCACCGTGAGAATGTGTGTACTTTCCGTCGCGACGTCACCTGAGTACCCGGATGTTCTTTTTCTTGCAAAATTAAAAGCGAGGTTGCGTTCAAGTACGCGAACACCAAGCTGCGTTCAACTAAAACTGTTGATGACCGTTAAAATCAACAGGCCTCTATATATATAAACAAATATAAACAATAAACAAATGACTATTTTCATATATGACTTTATATATAATACACGTTTGATCATATGACACTGTGCAATGTACTTTTACTCAATTAAAAGTACCCATTAGGAAGAATCACTCATTTTTAGAATATTATGTTGTTGAATTTTACAGTTGGGACACATTTTAACTACTTTTTATACTGCTGGGTATCTTGATAAATCCAGATGTTTTCCATTTTTTTAATCCAAGGACTCCTTATAAAACAGAGAATATACCTGGACTCTCTCATGTATGTCTCTTACACTTCTGTCTTTTATGTGAAAGAACAACACAGGACAAGTGTTCAGTTGAAGTATAATGTCGCATAAAATGGAAGTTCTCAAGTAAAGTACTTCCTGGGTCCTGAATCACAGAGGCTCATTTATTGTACTATTTTTGTGGATGCGTTCAATTTCAGTAGTTTCTTACCTTTAACAGTTTAATCTGGCCAAAGCATACATTTAATAAATTGTACACAGAAGATATTGATCCATATATTGTGCGCACATGATATGGATCTTGTGCACAGATAATATGTGAATATATAAATAATAAAATATTACAAAATAATCTTTGAGGATTTTAGGGGCTTGGTTTCAGTAGAAATTGCAATATCACAATATATAAATACTTCATGACAAGTAAACGTCTCACATCTGAAATATCCATCAAAATGTAACTAAAGTATTTAAACTAAAATAGTAATAATGCAGCAGAATGGCTTGTCAGTGATGTATTATTATATATTATTGGATCAGATTATGTAAGGAACATTTTAATGTAAAAATAACAAAAACACTGGATTTCATGTGCTGGTTTCTTTAGAATGTAGTGGAGTAGAAGTTTTTAAATACTCAGCTGATGTATAAGTACCCTCTAAAATGTACATTCCACACAATGACGTTGGGACACAGTCAACCTTTCAAAACACTTTATTTTCACCTTCTATGCCTCCCAAAACGAGAAGCTCACAGACAACATTTCCATTGGTGAGTTTTTTAACAAGGCAGTGACACATGTAGCTCACTGTGTGTGTGTAGCGTTAAATGAACATTGCCTCACCTGCACCAGTCTAAAAAACACTGAGATGGATCAGATCAGACCTCTACATGTAAAAAGATTTGTATGAGCTGGCTCGAATCTCTAAAACACAACAGCATACAACAGCGTTAAATATAGCCATTTCCTTCATTCACATTGAGAGAGATAAAAGAAAAATGACCATGAGCTCAAGGACGGGAAAAAAAACAAGAACATGTTGACCTACCTTAAATATTAACCCTTCATTTAATAACCATAATATAAACGAAAACAGGCCATAGTATCTCATGCTTTATTTACATGTCGCATTCAGAAATGAGGCGTTCGTGGGCAGAAATGAAAAACGAAGTGTTATTATTTTGTAAAGGACAGCTGCGGGCATGCACTGCTGCTTTAATAACGGAGGTAACGGGGTGACTTTCACTTCAGCATCACAAGAGCCGTCACCAGGGGAACCAGCCATTTCCATGCTAACCAGTGCCATGGAGATGCTGTAGCTGCTCTGTGATGCGAGTGAGCGGTGACGATGTGTTGGGGGGGGGGGTTTGTCAAGGTGGAGGCTTTCCTTTCATACTGTACTGTATGGAGAGCAGACAGCCTGTGGTGGTTTTTTTTGTTAATTATACAGTAAAACACTGTTTTTTTCTGCAGTAGAAAAATGTATTTTTACGGGGAAAGATGGAATAAAACTCCAATGTTAACTGTAAAATCAGCAGCGCTCGCATCCTTTTACTGTAATAGTAGAAACAGTTATATCGTATTTATTATTCTGGCAACCACAGCACAACCGTTTTTTACCGTAAAAACACAGTATTTTGTTGTTTTTTCAGACTGGTTTGTTTTTGGATCGTTACTACTAGGAGTACTAATACTTATTACTGGAACTGGGTGCATAGTCCTCGTCCTCCAGCATACTATAAGCCTCTGAAATGTCCATATTCTGTTCAGTTTTAGTTAAATGGTCCGATACCAATTCTTACAATCCCAAGAATGATCTTTGTGATTATTGTTAATATTATTGATTAATATGCAGATTATTTTTCTCTTTATTTCTCTGTGAAAATATTCAGAAATAGTGAGAAAAAAACCCAACTTCTGATCTTCTGTCGGACCAACACTCCAACACTCCAAATAGATTAAATTTACTGTGATATTTGTCAAAGAAAGGCTAAAAATCTTAAGATTTTAGAAGTAGGAACCAGAAAAATGTTTGACCAAAAATCTATTGAATATCAAAATGGTTGCAGATGATTTGATTGGCTAACAGTTTGAGCTCTTGAGCTCACATTTTGGATTGAAAGTCTATTCTTGACCTCCAGAACAGCAAAACAATTAAAAAAAAGGGAATTTGAACAACTGAATTTTCATAAAAACTGGATAAACTCTTTGTGATGAGGAAGATCGTTTTAATGCAATTGATTATTTTCTGAACATTTGCACTAAATTATATAAGTTGGTACACGTAGAGAAGCGCCATGTGTAAAATCAAATGATCAAAATCGACCCAAAAGATTATTTCGGTCAGAAATAAACGTAAATGTTCGATGCTGAAGTTTGGAATAAAAATTAATTTATAATTTCAGGAGAAAATCTGAGAAGTGGCTTCAAATTGATGACATATTGGTTTTAATCTGATATAACTGAATTAATCAAAACTCATCATCCGCTACTCTTTGACAGTTCAGCCACGTTACAAACAGCCGAGTCAAACACTAGTAATAAAAATACAGAGCTGTAATGTTAAAGTCATATAACTGATGTCAGCTATGGAAACAATATCCACATCAACCTTTTTTAAAACCACCAGAAATGACTCAGGTGAAAGATGAGATGGAAAAAAAATAAACAAATGACTATTTTCATTATCGATTAATTGGCAAGTCTTTTGCACAAAACCCAAAGACACGCAGGTTTCATGAAGGAAATATTCATAATCAAGAAACCGTCGTCTCCGCTCCAGAACAGCAGGCAGAACGTGATTTGAAAGGCAAACACTAAGCTAAGCTTAAGCCTTGATATTAAATCATGTGTTCAAAAAAAAAACCAAAACACAAATCCACATTTAGAGCAAAACCACATGGGAACCGACACTGATGACGACATGACAGACAGGACGCACTGACACAGACCGGAGACAAACCCACGGGTAATACAAAAACACAGATGTTGTGTCAATTAGCCCTGCATAACCCCCCCCCACGAATATGTGATGTCATGCATATTCACTGCAGATACAGCAGGTGTGTTACGGCTGAATGTCGTCAGCTCTCCCTGCTGGTTCTGACGCTCACGGTGTCGTTTTCAAAAGCCTGAGTAGAAACACGTCTGTAATGCTATATGAGGCGCTTTATGGCGACCGAAAAGAAGAACAAAAAAACAGGCTGCCCAGTTCCTTCCTTTTTTAATTTTTATACATTCTCCACCTTTTTTTTCATGCATCTCCTACAACAACCCTGATCCCTTAAAAATCATGCTGTGGGTCGTAGCCAACCATGCGCCGTCTTTGCATCGCTGCCCACGGCAGCTTCTCTCATCGTGTAATCCCGTCACAAACACCCTCTAATCACGTACTAATCTCTGATAGGTACACAGGCGTCACTATATTACTCATATTGTGCTGAATTATTACCACCATGTCAGAGAAAAGAAAAACACAACAACAACAACAACAACAACAACAACACATGATTATCGTGTAGCGCTTCTGGGACTTACAAGAAGAGACTTTGAGTGCACCCAACGCGTCTTCACAATCGTGTGATTGAATATATTGTAAATATATTACCGTCATATATCCTACAATATAAGCTGATGGTGCGCTGTATATATATACATATATACACACAACACATCCTGGATGTTTACAAAGAGTATGAGTAGCATATTTTCCTTTTACATTTTCAATATACACTTGACATACACAGGAGGAAAAGGTTCAACATCAACAAACGACTGTAAAATACCGTAAAAATATTGAAAAAACAAGAACATTCAGGGTCTGCCTGGTGAGTGTTAAAATAGGGTTTATAAATGAGAGGCTATAAGTACAGACGGAGATTACACATGTTGGGTGAGGCACCCGCATGAGGGAGACAAAAAACGAACAAAAAAAGGACTTAAATGACCCCCAGAGAACAAGTTTTGCAGCTCTCAGTTTTGCCCTTTTAAAGTAGTAAAAGGCCTAAAAGAAGCAGAGCTGGATGCAGGCATGCGGATCACCGGAGGAAAACAACATTCGGCCAAGAAATAGAACAGAAGCACATCACGGGGACAGAAAGCCAAAAGCAACTGGGAAACAGATCTCCTGTTCGAGTAGAGACAAAAAGAAGAAGAAGAAGAAGAAGAAGAAGAAGAAGAAGAAGAAGAAGAGCTCTCTGGATGAGATGAGCTGCTGTGAAGTTCAGCCGACGCCTCTAGTCGGCTCGTCTCACCGCGGCCATGCCTTCATTACTGTGTGGCATATGGTCCGCAGATTCAACTTGATACCACCTTCAGTAAAATAGGAGCTGAAAGCTGTGATGCCCCGCCCTTGTGTGGAATGTGAACGCACCGCGGTGACGTGGAGATAAAAACAAGGAGCTGGTAAACGGTGGTGATGAGTTACAGCGCTTCAAAAGTCAAGAGTGGTCGGTGGAGATTCAGACTGCAAGTCGTCATCAGTTTGAGATGAGATGCTTTAATACGTTTGGTCCCCGAAAAAGGTCAAGAACGAAAGGTGGGAGAAGGAGGCGAGAAAAAAAGGAAGCCAGATGTTTTTCGTCCCTGTGCGTTCGCTTCTCTTCATCTCGCCGTTTCGGTCTGCTGCCGCATCCCAGCGCACGCTTCTCAAAGACGCCTCGTCTCTGCAGGTCTGTGGCCTCCTGCACCAACGTGGTGCTCCTCGGCCACGCTGCCAGTCACAGGGTCTGCGTCTCCTTTGTCCCATGAGGAGATTGGGGTGTGCCGGGGGGAGGGCATCGTGGTTTTGGTTGGTGGGTGGTTGGTGAGGGGGTTGGCGTTGGGGTGCAGACCCCCCCTCACTCCTGCTCCCCCCCTTCAAGCAGAGCTCCAAACCCTCCTGGATCTCAAATAAAAACCTCATGCAGGGAGACGGCCTGCCGCTGGCAGTGCAACGCTGTGCCGCTCCCAGGGCGCCCCCCCCGCCCCGTCTCACTTCTTGACGGCCTGCCGGTAGCTGTGTCTCTGGCCGTCCGGTCGGGGCTTGCTGTTGCTGCAGCCGCCGCCACCGCCACCGCCACCGCTACCGCCACCACCGCCACCACCGCCACCACCGCCGCCGCCGCCGCCGCCGCTGCAGCCGCTGGCCTTGCTGCAGCCGCTGGCCTTGCTGCTAGTGCCCCCGTCCCTGGCGCTGCTGGCCTGGCTGATCTGGCTGGCCTGGCTGCTGTCCTGCAGCGTGGGGCTGGACTGGGCCCTCTGCAGCCTGTTGTCCTCCAGCAGCTGGGACTCGAACACAGACAGGTCCTCCTCGCCGCTCCGGATCTTAGCTCGCAGCAGCATGACGTACGCCCCGTACCGGGTTTTCTGTAAAAAGAGAGAGAGAGTGAGCCGTAACAATGATTTAGTATCATATCATTTAGTTCTTTCTCTTGAGTCCAGCTCACCTCAAACTCCAGATACTCGTCTCGCTGCCGGTACTCTTCCAGCTCGCGCCCTTTGACCTTCCGGTCGGGGGGGTAGGAGCGCAGCTCCGCCAGCTCAGTGGACAGGGCTCTGAATCGAGCCTCGTGGGACCTGATCTGCTCCTCCTGTGAGATCAAGATGTATCAGGAGGGAGACAAAGGAAAACAATAAACTCCTTCTTTCATTGGCACTCTGAGATTTCTTTAATGAAAAATGCATTATAAATAAAATGCATTATTATTATTCATTATTATTGACAGTTGTTAAATGCTCAGCCTGTTTTATTTTAGTCTTTTATTTAACCTTTATCCCACTGCAGTTGTAACTCCTATTTTTTTTTCCAGCATTATTATTTCTTCAGACTTTTTGGTTTGTTTTGAATTACACACGCAGATGTTTTGATTTAAAGGATTTGTTCTAAATGTTTCTAGCTCGCCTTAAAGCGGGAATGAGATCTAGACGTTCACAAGTCATCTACACCTGGATGTCGACGACAAACTAACAAAGCTGGAGAGACTTTTTGTTGGAAGTTTTGTGATAAAAATCGAAACACGCTGGACTTCAGAATCAATGGAGGCAGACTCGTGTCTCTCTCTACTTAGGAAACATGTTTAAAGAACCGGGAATCAGAGACAAATATCTACTAAATATTCCAACAGATCGACGTGAGGAATGAAAGGCCTGTAGTCATAAACCACTAGTGACCACTGGGTAATATATCACATCGCTGTTAAGTGGCGTGTTTATTCATTAAAAATTCATTCTAATTACTCTGCTATGAGGTGATGAAAAAATGACGTGTCAACTTCTTTTGAAAATGGCTGCACAGAGCAGATCATTACTCTGCTGTTGGACGTTTCTATCGGCGTGTTTTGATGAATTTCACAGGATGCTGGACTTGAGTCAGAGCCGGGTCTCTGGACTATGAAGCAAGTTCAACATAACCAGGTTATCTTTTGGTTATGTGGTTTAACTAACCCCAACAACCCCGGTTATCAACTCTGTAAATCAATTTAGGGTTTCTCAATCTGGCTGTGAGTGTGTTCACATAAAAGGGGCGGGGTTTGCAGCTTGTGACCAATCACAAACATGGACGAGTCGGCGCACTTTACAAATACAGAGGAAACTGTAATATCAGAGAAATACGAAGGCGTTAAACACAAAATTCAGGCTAAAAGTAACACAGCGGGTCATAAATCACTGACTTTGTGAATGCGTGAATCAACAGATTTATAATATTACTGCTTCATCTAGAGCAGGGATTCCCAAAGTGTGGGGGGTGCGCGAGCTGCCTCTAGGGGGTGCAGAGAGGAAAATTGTAATGGTGGTCTAATGGTGTAATAATTAATATTAAATATAATTTTCACAAAATAAAAACATGAATGTAACAGACTGTCTCATGTTTGTAGTTCTGGTGTTGACGATGATATGTCCCTTGAGGGTTGCCGTAAAGGCGCAACCCCCGCCTCTGACCAAAGGAGAAAACAATAATAAAGAGAGTAGCCGTGGGCTGATACAAGATGTCTAATCTCCCGACTCCAGTTATTACTGTATGATAAGTGCCCTTATACACGAACCCAAGACGCTCAGTTACATGAATTATAAAAATTCCCTTTGTAAGATTTAAATTTAAAAACGTACAATGTAATAAATAAATGCACTTCAGCTCCTGCCGCCAGACTGTCTTTTACGTACACTAGCTAGCCTAGCTTGTGCAGCTAACGTCAGCTAACAGCTAACTTCATTCATTCAGCAACATTCATGCAAATATGCTAAACTGGCTGAAATCTGGGAAACTGTCAGGTGGGACATCTGAAGCTATCAGTCATAAAAGAGGAGAGGGACAGAGAGGGAGAGATAGAGAGAGAGAGAGAGAGAGATAGAGAGAGAGAGAGAGAGAGAGAGA